GCAGGTCCCGCTCTCTCCCGCCGCGGTCGTCACGCCTCCTCTATCCCGTCCTGCTCTGCGGCGCAGGGGCAAGATGGCTGCTGAGAAACAGGTTCCTGGCTGCAGTGGTGGCAGCGGCGGCAGCGGCGGCGGCGGCGGTGGACGCGGTGCCGGAGGAGAGGAAAATAAGGAAAACGAACGGCCATCAGCCGGATCGAAGGCAAACAAAGAATTCGGGGATAGCCTGAGTTTGGAGAGTATCCTAGAGTAATAGGGCCTAACTTGGAATGACTACGTGTCCATCTGGCGGGCCGGGGGCGGGAGAGGCAGCGGGTCCCCGCACGTCCTGGGCAGGAGAGGCCGAGGGGTGCTGTTTCTCTCGCCCTTACTTTTTGACACTCAGAGTTCCAGAGTGCGTATTTTGACCGGCCTTCCCTCGGATCTCCTTCGCCCTCCAGGCTGGGGAACGTCCTTTTCTTTCAGGCGGCACCGGGATATTGGGCAGATTTCGGCAGTTTCCCTTCAGTTCCCCAGTTGGTGGGCTGATGATGGGGATGACACCCTGGCCACCCCGGTGTGCTCCTGCCTCGGCACCTTGAGCCACTGGACTGGGGAGAGGAAACTGCAGTCTCGATGTTTTGACTTAATACTTTTGTCTGACAGCTGTCGGAGAACGGGTAGTAAAAATTACAGTTTGACGTTCTCAAAGTGAAGGCAAAGGTTGCCGGCTCTGAGGAGAAGCTTGTTGCCCATTTTGAGTATATATCATCCTAGCTTTTTAATATCACATGTGTAGCTTTCTTAATAGATCGGGTAGGCACTTTATCGCGGTGAGCGTCATTCAGATGAGCTAGAGGAATTGGTTTCCAGTTTTCCTCAGAGCGTAATCACAGTTGAGTGCTTATGACACTAGTTTGTGGCTTTTTGAAATGAAATAACAAATGGAGAAGATGTAGCTGAATTTCTGAAGTAATACATTTAGCCTGACATCTTAATGTAGTCAAGTTTTCAGGGGATTGGAGCTTTACTTTTTGAACTGGTAGTATAGTTCCAAATGGGTGTTAGAATGCCTTGATTTTACTACAAACCTTATATCTCTGCCCTTTTTTTGTTATTGAAATCTTTTAGTGTTCAACATTTAAAAATACACCTATAGAAAAGCATTGAGGAAACTTTAAAAGAGAACTAAAATTTTAGATAAATGTCATTGGACTTCCTAAAGTTTGGTACATAATCTTAAAATGTTTTAAGATTCTTAAAAAGGAGAGATTGGTCACGGCCTTTTCTGTTAAAGGAAAAACTTCAGTATTTTTATGCAAACTGTGGCCTAGTTTGGTTGGCACGTGCTAATCACAGGCTCATGCAGCACCACAGCTGTTAAGGAAAGTTAGATTTGGCAGATGTAGGAAATTATGCAAATAAAGGAGTAATAAACGTCATTTATAACCTGAACCTGCCTGAATGAGTGAAATACTGGGTCCAGGTATAAATCAGTGGGAACCACCCCAATTTTAGTCGGCATTTAGAATCCAGAAGCTTGATTTAAGCTGTTGGGTTTCAGTAATTCTTAATGGCTAATAGTGCCCTCCTTTTTAGTTTGAAAGTAGTAACAGTTCAGGCAATTAACTTTTTTTCTACACTCTTAGCCCTGTCCTGTGACAAGATAGTGATTGAAAATGCTTACAGGAAGTTTCACTGGTTAACATACTCAGTATTTCAGGAATGTTTAGTGCTGTGGTTTAATACACGTATAGACTAAGGGGGACACGTTTTGATTTATTTGGATTCTTGCCATTGTAAGTCTTTCCTTAATCTTGGCTCTAGTTCTTCAGATTATTAAGGAATCCCAGCAGCAGCATGGCTTACGGCATGGAGATTTTCAGAGGTACAGGTTAGTATCGTGTATAGGACGTGTGGCGTTTTCAAAGTTGGTTTGCCTTATTAAATGTCCTGCTTACTCTGCTGTATGAGAAGGTATACCCAGAATATCTAGCTCAGAACTTTTATTGAATCCCCAAAAGGTACTTTAAAATTTTAAATGTTCTAATGAATACAAGGAGCCAACCTCTTTAGCCATTTTGCCTCACAATATTGCAGGTACCTTGGAGACTTCTGCTGAAATTAACAGGCAGTTAACGGTCAGCACTTTTTTAACTTAACCATAGTTTAGAGTCTTGGTTAAATGCAAAGCTTTTCAGTGTTTTCAGCATTATATAAGGGGAATTTCATTATAATTTATTGGTAAATTTTTATAACAGCCTTCAAGTTGGAAAACAAATTTAATATGACACTTACAAAATAGAATAGACACCTAATGTATAATACAGTTCAGTACTTTGAAAGCAGGAATGTCCAACTGTTCCTATATTGTAGATACAGGCTTTGGCTACCTGATTTTTAAAAGTACTACTAAAATACTCTACATCTCAGGTTCTAAGGAGTCAGTCATGTGGTGAAGGGTCAGCAGTGATGGGGCAGAGTGAGCCAGGTGGGGAGCAGGAGGAATGAGGTGGGAGAAGTAGGCAGGGCCAAAATGTGTGCTGCCCAATAGGCCAGGGTAACCCGTTCAGATGCTCATCTAGGTGTGTGGTGGGGAGAAGCCATACACAGGAGACTGTTAGGACTCAATTTTTTTTTATTATTATTATTGAGGCAATTTACAAAAACAAATGAAAGAGATGATAGTACAACGAACCCATCACAAAATTATTACGACGATCAACTTTCTGCCTTCTTTGTTGCATCTGTTCCCTCTTCTTTTTTAAAAAACAACATTTTATTGAAGATTTTAAAAATAATTTTATTGAAGTATAACTTGCATACAGAGAAGTGTACAGAAATATAAAGCTACTTCTTTATTCAGTTTCCCCGGATTTTCTTTAAAATATGTTTCAATTATTTATTTTTTTTTTAAGATTTTTTTATTGCGGAATTGGGGGAGGGGAACAGTGTTGGGGAATTGGGGAAGGGGACCAGCCAAGTTGTTCTGCAATCTTCATTGTGGAGGGCTGCAGTCGCCATCTGGCTTCCTATCAGCAGCTCCTTGCCTCTAAGTTCAAGGTGCTGTGTTTAATCTTAGTTGCGGGTGAGCGTAGCCACCATCCCATGCGGGAGTCGAACCAGCAGCCTTGTTAAGAGCACACGCCCTATCCACTGAGCCATCTGGGCTGCAGCTCAACTCAAGGTGCTGAGTTCAGTCTTAGTTGCGGGTGGGCATAGCCCACCATCAAACACGCAATCTTGTTGTTACACCAGCTGAACCATCCTGCCACCTGTTGGCAGCTCAGCTCGGATGCAGTGTCACTGGCCCATGTGGGAATTGAACTGGCGGCCCTGTTGCTTAGAGTTCGCACTCTTAAGCCAACTCTTAACCAATTGAGCCACTCAGCCAGCCCTGTTTCAATTTTTTTTTTTTTATCTGAAATCATCTCAGACTTGCAGAAAATTTGCAGGAACATTGTAAATAACATTTTTTTCTGAACCATTGCAAGTAGCTTGCCTGCCTCATGCCCTTTGTCCCAATTTCTGTTTGTTTGTTTTGCTAGTTATTAATTTTATTCAATGTTGCATTTTAATTGTATTTTTTGGTGGTAAAATATACATAACATAAAATTGACTTCAGTGTATCCTTCAGTCATTTTTATGTCTTTAAGTACATACATACATTTTATATGTGTACCTACCAATAGTAGTTTTGGTCTTCTAGTTTTTTTTCTATGACTTTTTCATAAGTTTGCTCATATTGTATATACAATTTTACATCCCACTTTTTTGCTAAACATTCTCCCAGCCTTCAAAAATGTTCTATACACATGATTTTTAGTACTTGCATTATTACCCTATGTATAGGCATACCATAATTTATTTACCTTTTCCCCCAAGTTGGTTATGTACAATAGCCAGTTTCGTAGGTTTAAAAATTTTGTTCCCATAAATCTCTGTTCAGACTTCTTTGTCTGTATTTCTGATTATTTCTTGAGTATAGAAGAAGTAGACTTAGTTCAGGGAATATGAACTTTTTTTTTTTTTAACATTTTTCAGGATCTTGATAAATGTATCCATATTTCGAGAAATTTCTTAGCAATTTATATATTTTCCCCATAATGTATGAGTGGTCCATTTGGTTTTTATGTAAAAGGGTAAGTGATAATTAAATCAGAAATTATAAATGGAGGGAAAAAGCTATTATTTTTCTTTTTAATAAAAGAAAATTGTATTTTTACACTAATTTAATCAAAATACGTTTATTGAACGTCTATATGTTAGTCACTGTGTTAAGAAATTTGCAACTACAATCATCTTTGCACTGAAGGAGTTTATGTTAGTGAGACAGACATGTAAGAACAGAATTATAAGCCCTATATTATAATAGGAGGAAGAATAAAGAGCTACGTGAGCTTGGAAGGGAAGCTTGGTGAGAGGTTCCTACTCATTCTTTCCAAGCCCACCCTAGGTCCACTCCAGCGAAAGTGTTAACAAGAAGACAAGGATTGCTCACATCCTTTGCATTCACTTTGACCTTTGCCTTGTTTCCTTGGTTGCCGTTTTTTCTGCATGACCCTCCCCACCTAGAGTGTGCGTTCTTTGAGAATAGGTACTGTGTCCTCTATCTCTTTGTGTTTTCTGCCATACCATTCATACTGCCCTGCATGTTTTAAGTCAGTGAATCTTCCCAAGATGATGTGAGGTAGCTATAGTAATTATAAGTAGAATACCTCAAACCTTTGACCTCTTCTTATTGTAGAGTTTACTGTTGAAAGTACTATCAGCTTGGCTGACTGATTTTTGATTGTGGTTTCTTACAGGGGCTACTGTTCCCGTAGACAAAGACGTCTCCGGAAAACGCTCAACTTCAAGATGGGGAACAGACACAAGTTCACAGGGAAAAAAGTAACTGAAGATCTTCTGACCGATAACAGGTACTAACTGCTCAGTGCTAGGAGCTAAATGCTTTTTGCTAATACATTTATTAAACAATTACAGTGTGCAAGACGTTTTGCCAAACTCTTTAATTATCTCAGTGATTCTTTTAGCAGCTCTGAGGAGTGGGCGTTCTTACTGTTTCTGTGTTTTAAGATGAGGAAACTGAAGCTCAGAGTTTCAGTAACTTCTTGAAGAATCGTGGGGTGGTAAAAGTTAGTCAGTGATTGGAATCTAATTGGTTATTGGGTAAGGTTCTAGAATGGAAATTTCAGTGTCTAAGTGCTTACTTAGACATATCTTAGAGAAATCTGGCTGTGTGTAAATTATTCCAGAACAGTTCCGTATTTCAGTGCTGAGTGCAACCCATGCTTAGCATTTGCTGAAGGGTTAACCTGTCAAGCAACATATGTTGACGGTCTCTAGGACAGTTCTTCAGATTTCGGCATGTGGGCCAAATTGGTCCTCCTGCCACCCTTTTTTGTAAATTAAATTTTACTAGAACACAACCACACCATTTGTTTAGGTATTGATTACAGGTGCTTTTGTGCTATAGTAACAGTTTTTGTGACAGAGACCATATGTCCTACAAAGCCTGAAATATTTACTGCTGGGCCCTTTACAGAAAACGTTTGCTGCCCCCTGGCCTAGTATGTGGCCAGGACTGAGCTGAGCACCACATTGGATGTAGAAGGGTGGGGAGGCGTAGTTCTTGAAACTCGCTCATTGTGATCTTGTTGCGAGATGTTGGTCAAGTACAAAACAGGGAACACCACACGAAAGCGAAACTGCCATATTGGGTGTCATTTACTCTTCAGCTTTCTGAAGTCTTGGAAGGGAGTGGTTAGCTTGGGCAAGCCAGGAAGCCTGCATGGAGGAGGCTGGGCCCTGAAGGATTTGCGAGAGGAAAGACCATTCTGTGTCGGGAAACATCATGCCGTGGCGTCTGTGAATGCGCACCAGGAACTGCCATGCTCTGGACAGCAGCTCCTCTGCTCAGGCAGCAAAGAGGCTGGGAGCTTGTGTGTGGAGACAGAACTAGCGCATAGCGACCGAGATGGGAGGGGCCAGATGTATTGATTAAATCTGATGAGATCGAGTCAGGAGGAGTCTCTTATGATAGCAAAGTTCCTTATTTTGGAGAGAGAAGATTAAACTGATGTTTAAGGAAGATTAATCAAGGTAGTGGTTTAAAGAAAGAGTCACCGGGGCTGCCGAGTGGTGCATTGGTTAAGAGTTGGCTTTTGACGCCAGCTCTGAGCAGCAGGGTCTCGGTTTGGATTCCACATGAGGGCCAGTGACGCTGTGCCCTCTACAGCTAAGATGGTGAACAGCAGCTCGACCTGGAGCTGGGCTGCCGTGAGTCGCCGGTGACGGCATAGGCTGCAGCCTCTGCTGCAGTGGGCTGCCATAAGCTACTGTGAGTGGCCAGCAGCCAGCGTGAGTGGTCAGCAGCCGGTGTGAGCTGCCAAGAGCCGCTGTGAGCAGCCGTCCAGAGGCCGGCGACCGACCTGACTTACCCGGGAAGAGCGCAATGATAATACTAACATGGGCCAGTGAAGCAAAGTCCTCCACAATTAGACAGAAGAACAAAAGAACAGCAACTTGTCTGTTCCCCTGCCCCAATTCCCCAATAAAAAATCTTTAAAAAAAATAGAGTCACCATAATAATAATAAAGTAGCTAACTTATTTAGCACTTAGTAAGTGCTAGGCTCTGGTCTAAGTGTGTTACAGTATTACTGCATGGGAGAGTAAGGCACAGAAAGGTTAGGACTTTGCACAAAGTCACACAGCAAGTGAGTGATGGCACTGAAATTCCACCCCCAGACTGTAGAGCAGCAGTTCTCAACCTTTCACAGGGGTCACCTAAGACCATCAGAAAACACATATTTTCGATGGTCTTAGGAACCGAGACACCGCTCCTCTGTCCATCTCCAGGCCCACATGCAGATACACCCACATACGAGTACCCGGCGACCCCTGTGAAAGGGTCGTTCGACCCCCAAAGGGGTCGCAACCCACAGGTTGAGAAACGCTGCTGTAGAGCCTCCTTCTTAACCGCTTCAATGTATTGCTTCTTCAGGCCTTGGTTTCCAGCTGGTTTGGGATGAGGGAGGTATTGATTGAAAGATGAGGCCAGACTTGTTCCTGGACTGCCTCTACTTGCTAAAATTTGGGAGGGGTCAGTTTGGGTTTGCTGAGTTTGAGGTGGGAACAGACTTTCCAGTGAGTTGTGTCTGGTAAGTGATCAGAAACCTGAGGTACAGCCTGAGTTGGGAGCAGAGATGTGGATTTGGGAGTCATGGTTGATACTGTGAGAGGAGCAGTTAGGAAGAGAGCCAGGCACTGTGCAGAGAGAAGTAGAGAGGCTGAAGGTGGCCTTAGAGAATGTCTGAATCTGCTGCTCCTGGCCTTATTTGTTCAGCTCGTTTGTTCTTGTCTCTGGTTTAGATATTTGCTTCTGGTTCTGATGGATGCTGAAAGAGCCTGGAGCTATGCCATGCAGCTCAAACAGGAAGCCAACACTGAACCCCGAAAACGGTTCCATTTGTTGTCTCGCCTACGCAAAGCCGTGAAGCACGCAGAGGAATTGGAACGCTTGTGTGAGAGCAGCCGTGTGGACGCCAAGACCAAGCTAGAGGCTCAGGTCGGTGTCTTCACGTCAGCTGCGCTCCACTGTGGAGAGTGGAGACGAGACCTAAGAACAATACAGTTAAACAGATCAGAGTTTTTTACATTATAAATGGATAGTCAGGCGAGGAAAAAACTTGATCCTGCTTTTTCAAGATGAAGATGGTGTCTCTTGTTTTTGAGCCCCTCGTTTTTAATCATTAGCTCTAACTTTTAAAGAAAGCTCATGTTTCTTTTGATACATAGATGGAAAGCTTGCATCTGGGAGAGTTCACAAAATAATTTTTTAAAAGAGATCGACATTGCAAGTTTATATTCAACTTTTGATACTTATGTTATAGTCCCGAAGCTCGTTGTTAAGTCAAATGAAGAAAATAAATTTCCTTTATTTTGAAGTTCATTTGAAGTAAATGAATCATAACAATTTACCTGTGTGTCCCATTTTATTAGTGAAAAGTTTTTCTCTTTAAAAATCAACCTGATTAGCTCTCTATTCTTGATATCCAAGTTCAAAGCAAGTAGAGGAGATTGAGCTGTAACACTGGTCCATAGGTGTTGAATCAGTTTTTCTTTTCCTGTCGCCTCCCAGGCTTACACAGCTTACCTCTCAGGAATGCTGCGTTTTGAACATCAAGAGTGGAAAGCTGCCATCGAGGCTTTTAACAAATGCAAGTAAGTCCTCCTGTCCAAAGGCTGTGGCCAGTTTTGATTCTAGATAGTCAAGTTCAAGCTGCAAATCAGCTGATGATTGACTCTGTGAAAGGTAGTACAATTTCTTTTTTTTTTTTTCTCCCTTTAGAAATGTTGATTCTTCTCTTTCATCCTTAGAACATGCCAGTTCTGGTAGTTGGAAGAAGGGCCTCAAAGTGCTATGTTTTTTTGTAGCTACTGTGTTCCTTGTGAGTTGGTTTTCTTAAAGGCTGCTGTGTAATGTGATTTGCTTTCTTCACAGAACAATCTACGAGAAGCTCGCCAGCGCATTCACGGAAGAGCAGGCTGTGCTGTACAACCAGCGTGTGGAGGAGATCTCGCCCAACATCCGCTACTGTGCCTATAACATTGGTGAGCAGGGACCACGTTGGCATTGGGGGCGGCCTGGTGGTAGCCCATCTCAGAGAGCCCAGAGAGTGTATTTCACTTTCTTCCCTTTCCCTTGCATCCGTCCTTGACATGGGTTTTTGTTAATGAAAAAGGTAGAGCTGTCCAAGTCAGCCCTGCTCAGAATCGCAGAAGGCAGTTCCTTTGCTTTTGCTCCCATCATGCCATCTTCTTCACCCCCACGAGCTTTGTGCAAAGACTGGGATTCACTGCAACGTGCTTGTGGAGGGTGGAGCTCTTTCAAGTCAGCCTTGAACCTAGTGGTTCTCGAGAATACAGACCAGACCCTTGAGGATTGTCCACTCAATCTCTCTGTCTTTTTCAGGGGACCAGTCAGCTATCAATGAACTCATGCAGATGAGATTGAGGTCTGGGGGCACCGAGGGTCTCCTGGCAGAAAAATTGGAGGTAATCTAGTATGTACATTTTTGTGACAAGTCTTTGGTTTGAAAAAGGCCAGAAAAAGAAGTAATCCACAATACCAACCCAATATAATTGCAATTAATATATGCATATTTATATCTACATTTTTAACAAAAAACCGTTTTCATTGAATTATTTTCTTTTTTGTGTGTGTTTTGTTTTTTTAATTTTATTGGGGAACAGCCATGGTCATTGGTTACACAATGCTTTCATGCCACAATGGCACAGTTGACTCCCTTAAGGAGGGCACAGCTCACAGTGGCCCACGTGGTTATCAAACCCATAACCTTGGTGTTATCAGCATGATGCTCTAACCAACTGAGCTAACTGGTCACCCCTTTCATTTAATATTTTTAAGTATTCAACTTTTTTTTAACATGTTACATTTATTTTCTAAGCAATATAGGCTCATAGAGAAAGTGGGGAATACAAAAGATGGAGGGGAAATAGAATGACATGGGTTACCACCCAGAGGTAACCACTATTAATAATGTGATGAAGATCTTGTAGACTTTGGTATGTGTGGGGAAAAAGGCTTGTATTTTAAAAATGGGATTTCCGTATGCACTGTTTAGTAACATTTTTTTTTTTTTTTTTTTTTAGCTGAGCCATCCTGCCACCTGTTGGCAGCTCAGCAGCAGCTCAACTCGGGCTGGGAATCGAACCGCTGTTGCTCAGAGCTCAAACGCTTGAGCGAGCTCTTAACCAACTGAGCCAATCAGCCGGCCCTAACATTTGTTTTAATTATCATGTCACATGCAGTTTTTCCATTTCAGTACATACGTTTCCACATCATCGTCTTTTGTTAGCTGCATGGTACTCCTTTTATTGAACCATTTCACCATTATTAAGTGGTAAACAGTGTTACCGTGAATATCTGTATGCCCAGTTTTTGTACACATTCTTAGTTATTTCCTTAGGATAAATTCCTAAAAGTGGAATTGAATGTTTTGGAAGCTTTTGGTACATATCGACAAATATCTTAAGTGTCTACTAATTTACATTTCTGCTTGTGGTATATATAGATATGCTTTTCTTCTGACATCCTTACCAAAACTTCGTGTTGGGCTTTTTAACCTTCTATCATGTCCTTTTAACAATTTGAGTTTCTGTAAGCTAAGATACATTATACCAAGGAGGAATTAAAATCTAAATTTGTATATGCTCTACCTTATAAGGAAGAATATGTTGGTTATAGAAAGAGAGAAATAATCATTTCCTATTATTTCACCTCGGTCACTCCTATCCACAGTTAAAACTTGAACTGTTTAAAACTCCTTTCCAGGCATTGATCACACAGACGCGAGCCAAGCAGGCAGCTACCATGAGCGAGGTGGAGTGGAGAGGGAGAACCGTTCCAGTGAAGATCGACAAAGTGAGGATCTTTTTATTGGGATTAGCTGACAACGAGGCCGCCATTGCCCAGGTAAGAAGGAAGCACCTGCTCTCTCTTCTGCACATGTCTGAAGGTTGTCCTTGTTTAAGATGTAGTATTTTGCCAGTGTTCATTTATCACAGCACACAAATGCATCTTAATACTGTTGGGTATTTGGTAACAGTCTCAAGACTGCACCCTGTTGGCTGAAATTATTTTAAAAGCTGCGTTTATAGAGAACTTCTTATGTTTAAAGGGCAAAGAAATTGACAGTGACAGTCATCAACAGAAAAATGGAAGCAGTAAGAGGCTGGCTTACGGTGAGGAGTAACTTTTGGCCCAGCAGGTAGTGCGGCAGCTTAGCTGTCATGTCCCTCGTGTTTCTCTGACCTCGTGTCCTAGCCTTAAAGGGGCCGCCTCATGTTCGTGGGCCTTTGACGCAGAGCCCAGCTAAGCCGGACTGTCTTGGTTGGTGTGCGATGTGTATGTAATATTTATGCAAAGCTCACCACTTGATGCTGCTTACTGACTTAATTGTTGCCTATTTGTGTGAACAACCAAATGAGGTCCAAAAGTTGAGCGATCCTGGCGATCTTGGTTTGTACAACGTAGACAGTGATGAGGGCACTTTGTAGAGCTTCTCCTCCATATGAGGTGAAGAGCATCTAAATAAAAGGCCAGGCTGCTGAGTGTGGCTGCAGCCTCGCCAGGGACCAGTGGTGTTTCATAAGACTTCACAGTAAGCTGCTGCACCCTGAATAATTAGATGAGGTGCTTTGTTAGTTGTACTGACGAGTGGTTTTAAGCACCCAGACTTTTCAGTGACTTGTTCCAAAATAGCTCCTTTGGGTTGGGGGCAGCTTTCAGCAATTGAATTTCTTTGTGCCTTTGTCTGTGTTGCATATTGCCCACTCATTGCCTTTTTATTTGCTTAAAGCACAGAAGACTAGAATACCAGAAAGTTGGGTTTTTTGCCTTAAACTAAAAGATCGAGAAATTTTCTGAGGGCATTTCATTGACGCTATGGTATGATGGAATCTCTTCTGGACTAGGGCTCTGCTGGCAACCATTTCGATTTTGTGATTGGGTTAATTCTTTTGTTTTAAAGTGATACATGCTGGAAGAAAGCTGCCTTTGGTCACAACGAGGCAGGGATACTGGCTAGAATAGGGGTGGAGGGAGGCCCGTAGGGGCCAATTAAATGGGGGCACTTTAGGGATGAGGCCACAGAATATGTCAGATAAAGGACAAGAAAAGCTAACAGTTATTAAGTTTTCAAAGTTATTCAGCTTAAAGTTTTGCAAATATAAATGATGTTTTAAGACAATCAAACTATAGTCTCACTTCCCATATACCTTCATTGATCCTGTGCTGTACTAAAAGGAAAACAGTATATTTCCTTTTAATCTTTTTCGTATTTATGAGATGTTATATACGTTTTCCTTGTGATTATACTGAGATCCGATTTTGTATCCTGTTTTCATTAATGTATTTGTAAGGCTTTTTCACGTTCTTACAAATCATTTCACAAAACTTTTTTTTTTTTTTTTTTAAGATTTTATTGGGGAATTGAGGGAGGGGAACAGCCTAGTTGTTGTCCTTCAGTCTTAGTTGTGGAGGGCGCAGCTAGCTCAGCTCCAAGTCCAGTAGACTCAGCTCAAGGTGCTGTGTTCAATCTTAGTTGCGGGTGGACATAGCCACCATCCCATGTGGGAGTCGAACCAGCAGACTTGTTGTTAAGAGCGCATGCTCTATCCACTGAGCTATCCGGGCGGCAGCTCAGCTCAAGGTGTCGAGTTCAGTTTTAGTTGCGGGTGGGCGTAGCCACCATCCCATGTGGGAGTCGAACCAGCAGCCTTGTTGTTAAGAGCACACGCTCTATCCTTTGAGCCACCCGGGCAGCAGCTCAGCTCAGGGTGCCAAGTTCAGTCTTTAGTTGCGGGGTAGGCATAGCCCACCATCTAGAACAGGCAACCTTGTTAATAGGAGCATGTGCTCTCACTAGCTGAGCCATCCTGCCACCTGTTGGCAGTTCAGCGGCAGCTCAGCTCAAGCACAGCTCACTGGCCCATGTGGGAATCAAACTGGCGACCCTGTGGCTCAGAGCTTGCCCTCTTGAGCAAGCTGTTAACCAACTGAGCCACTTGGCCGGCCCCACAAAACTTTTGAAATACCTAGTGGTCACCTGGACAGAGATACCCTAGGGATGAGCAAAGGAGGATCATGACCCCACCCCCACCCCCACCTTAATGTCCCAGACATGCTGCTTCAGGCTCTTAAGTTTTTATTGTTCTAACCCTATGAGGTGGGGGACACTCCCGTTTTACAGGTGGAAAACCGGTCTCAGAGAGACTCTATAATGCCCACATCCATATACCTGATAGAAGGGAATGCCCGCATGTAAAACCATGCCCCTTTGACTCCAAAACTCACGTTCCTTGAACTTTCCCACATGTCCTGTTAGATTCAACAGGAAGGCTAGTGATAGGATGGTTTTGTTCGGCTTTGGTGAGTGGCTAAATGTCATTTCACTTAGCAAAGTACACAAGCAGGGTCCCGGGCCCTGGTAAGGACCTGGATAAGCAGAGCCTTGATTGAAACAAATAGTCCTGGCAGAGGAGTCAGCTCTAATTCAGTGGGTTAGTGAGGGAAGAGTTTCTCATGTGGGAGGAGAAGGTGTAGGGGTGTTTTATCTGAATTTATCTTTTTCTTGTTTTTTACACATAATTAGAACATAAAAACATATATAGGGGAGGTCTTTTTGCCCCATTTGTAAAAGTTGGGGCTGAATTAGACCAAGTGAAAGCCTTTTGCAGCTGCACGTGAAGCCTTTACCTTTCAAATTGAAGATCACCTCAGTCTTGTGATGACTGGTCGAGCTTTGTGCAACCTGTATTCTTCAGTTACAGTTGGCATTCAATATTATATTAGTCTCAGGTGTACAGCATAGTGGTTAGACATGGATATCATTCATGAAGTGATGCCCCGATTAGTTTAGTGCCCACCTGGCACTATACATGTTTATTACAGCATTACTGACTTTATTCTCTATGCTGTACTTTACACCCCTCTGATGATTTCATGACTACCAATTTGTACTTCTCAATCCCTTCATTTTTAAGAAGATTATTCTCAAACTTGAGTTTTAGTATAGTTAGAAGTTTGACTTTTGGGTATCCAGGCCATAGCCACCCCTTCTAAGGCAGTTCAGGATTGGCTAAAATTTTGGTAATATTGGCAAGAGAAAGCAGCAACATTAGTCCAACCTTGAGTAGATAAAAAATATTCGAAGTCAGCCATCGCAGCACAACTGCTGCTATTTCTGTGTTCCCATCTCATCTTCAGCGTGCGTGTTTTTATAGTTAAATATATGCTATTTCATATCCATCTCTAATATACACAGATATTGGCAGG